AGTTTGAAGCGATTGGTGGCGGTATGACTTAACACTTTAAATTTAAATCCTAAAATTCAGGGTGATTTTATAATAGCATACGAAGAATATAAAAATTCAAAGATGACCATGTGAGACAGACCAAAATTCAACTAGGTTTAGCTGAGTTGGAGAATCCTTAGTACCCTCCCACATACGGTGTTGAAACGTGAAGATAGGCGGTTAATGGTATAGACATGATGATGATTCTGTATGAGCAGGAAAGTAGCACTATCACTCTTCTTGGACTGTCCCTCAGTACTTCTGCATTTATAGGAAGATAGACTGGTTTGGTTTAGCTCTTAAAAGTGAAAACTTTTTAATTTTCCTTTTTGGGCAAAAAAAAAAAAAAAAAATTGAAAGGAGTGACGACCGAAAACTGCAGGCCCCACTGTGTTTAATCATTAATAGTGAGCCCTTTGGCTAACTCAGGTCCTGATTTTGGAGTTTGGAATCTGACCTTTCCCTAAAGATAAACATTATTGTGGCAGGTTGTGAGTAGGGCCACTTTCTCACTGGCTGCCATCGGCAGAGTCCTCTTCTCAGTGACTCGTAGCTGGAACCTGGATGCAACAGGGATAGCCAGTCACTATGATTCTTCTCGCTGTGTTTTTTCTCTGCTTCATTTCTTCATATTCAGCTTCTGTTAAAGGTAAGTTTGTGTTGCCTTTTGCTAAAATTTAATTTCAATCTTTGGGGGTAAAAAGTGCGTGCGTGTGTGTGTCAATAGTGAAAGAGTTTCTCACTAAACCGTCTGAAAAACGATGTAACTTTGGAATGTTTTTGAAAGCATGGGTTGAAATGAACACCAAATTCAAATTCCTACATACATTAAGAAAACAGAGGTTCCTTTTAGTTTCAGTCCCTCAGACAAGGGTGTTTTTGCTTGAGCTTCTCATTCATGGTCTATGTTTTAAAGGGGAAAAAGAGCTGCCAGCTATTGTTACCTGCCACCGTTGGTCACACTGAATGCAGCTCCTTCATTTGAATTGTAAATGAGGATTTCAAAAAAAATCCAGTCCTTAAATTTCTTTCTAGTTGCTTAGCAATGTGACATCAAGAAGAATTAGACCCAATGGAAAAAGGCATTTAATTTGCCAAAGAATTATGAATGAAATGGTAAAACATGTATTCAATTCTATTATCATTCAAAAGTGATGGAATTATTACAGTCAGTGAATTAAAGAAAATAAAATTATATGATACAGGTTTAAGAAATAAGAGTTACTATCTTTAGAAGAATAGTGTGGCTAGTTACAGTTTCTACTTTAAGATGAAATTGATTTTTAAAAAACACATATAAATTATTACCCTCAGAAAAAGCAAGAGAGAAAACAAACATTTTGTGAGGAATGGTTTCAAAAAGCTGTATGAAATGTATTGATATAGAATCTTGTTTAAAATCGGCTAGATTATAAACCTGTATTTCTAAATGCTGCCTTGTGTAAAATGATCACTTTTTAGAGTATCTTAAGAAGATACACTCTTAAAACCAATTGATCCAACATACAACTTAGCATGATAGGGACAGATTTTAAAACTCTATACTCCATAAGTATTTGATATAAAACAATTCACTTACAAACTTTAAAAACCTGTTTGGGATAAATGGGGCTTTTGATCATAAAGTAAAGTTTTCCTCAAGATTTTTTGTATGGAAAATTTCCACAGGAGGAAAAAAGGCAATGTTCATTATTGTGGCAATAAATAGATGGCTAAATTTAAATGAATTCACCTAAGCAATTCAAACTTTAGGGTATGGAAAATTTCCACAGGAGGAAAAAAGGCAATGTTCATTATTGTGGCAATAAATAGATGGCTAAATTTAAATGAATTCACCTAAGCAATTCAAACTTTAGGGTTTTGAAATAAGGCAATATTTTCACCAGTTTCTAAAATGTTCACTTTTTAAAAATATAGTTCTTACTTGGATGAAAGAAATTTTTTAATAAGAAAAAAGCAAAGATTTATGAGTTATCATCTCCTCAGGGCTAGCCAGGGAATCTTTCTGAATCCTTTTTAAAAATATAGTTCTGAATTCACCC